GTATGTGTGTGTCTGTCTGTTTCTAAGTGTGTGTAAAGGGGGGTATCATCTCTGATATTTCTACTCATCTTTGTTCATCCTTCTTTATTCTAAAAACATAAACAGCCCTCATTTTCACACGCTCGCTCCAACAGTCGGGTTTCACCTCACACACCCTGAGGATGGAAAACAGTTAAAAAAAACACAAACAATAATCTGTTTGTTGGAAAATCTGAAGGAAAGATGGTGAAGACAAATAAACTGCTGAGGAAAGACACTTGTGTCTTTGATGAAAACATGTAGGGATGCAGGAGGTTAAGTTTGACTCATAATCACCATCAAATATTTCTCTGATTAAACTCATTTATATTTAAGTTTCAATGCATTAGTGTCGATTCATTTCTAATTTACCAAAGTATTTTCTTCTTGAGCCTAAATCTTCAGCACAAAAGGCCAAAGAAACAGTTTGAAGCACAATAAATGTATTTATTAGCCTGTGGGTTCTGATGGAGCTTTTTCTCAGTAAATGTGCAGCGGAGTGAGACGGAGCGTGTTTGGGTGGCAGAAAGTAGTTCAGCCTGAGGGGAGGCGAGGACAGGCCAGCATTAGGCTAAATTTAGCGTGCTAATCCAGGGAACTCCCGTCCCGTCTGCACCAAGGGCCGGGCTAACGCTAGCTGTGAGCGGGCCACAGACGGAGAGTGAGCTAAACCTGCACATGGAGCCGAGTCCTCAGAGGGGCGGTGACCTCTGACCTCTGACCTCTGCAGCTACAAAGCCCCGCTGGATGAGGAGTTCATCTCATGATTGACTCGTGAAAGAAAACAAACATTTAAAGGAGTTTTTCCAAATCTGCGCTTTTATTTTGAAACTTTTTTTGTAGTTTTGTTTTAAAGTGTATTATTTGCTGATGTAAAGAATGATTTTACACCGGACGCTCTTTCTGACACTAATCGTGTTTCCATCCAGTTGTAGAGAGAATTTTTATCGCACTTTTCAAAATTTGCAAAAAACAATTAATAATTCGAATCTAGACTGTTTCCATCTAGTTTCCCTCTAGACTGTTTGATGCGAATAAATGAGGCTACGCAACGCGTGATTACGTCAGACGAGGCTACGCAA